CAGATACATAACCACTTAACCTAAAAATATTTGATTTACTATTGCCTGTAATCTCTCCTAAGGCATTGCCTTCGGCACTGCACTGCTTCGCATTGAGCTGGTTCCGTGTTTTTTTACATAATGACGTCACTTTCAGTGACTATGTAATCCCTGGACACTATGAACTCTGGCCCATTCAAGGCACTGGCCATTTTGAACACTGGACACATCGTGCCCTGGACATTATGAACTCTGGCCATTTTGAACACTGGACACATCGTGCCCTGGACATTATGAACCCTGGCCATTTCGAACACTGGACACATCGTGCCCTGGACATTATGAACCCTGGCCTCTTTGAATATACCCTATCTGCAGCCAGTTGGCCGCATTTGGACCATGCAATCCCTGGACATTATGAACTCTGGCCCATTTAAGGCACTGGCCATTTCGACACTGGGCATAACGTACCCTGGACATTATGAACCCTGGCCAGAATGAATGCTCCCCGCACAGCAGATGCTGGGGGGCCGGGCACGGGTTAGCCCGGATGGGGTAGGGCGGGGGCCACAAATCGCACGTAACGACCCCGCTCACGACACACACAGCCCAAGAGGGGCGAGACAGGCAGACGTGCGGGTGGGGGTGGGGGGGGGGGTGGGGGATTACAACCAGGCACTGAAGGTAAGGCCATTTGCCGTTCACAAACGTTCCGGATGTTTGTTAAGTTTTCGTCACATTCGTCTGCACGTTGCAGAAGCATGCATTAAAAAGCTGCCAAATGCGCTTCAAATGAAGGAAGAAACAAGGTAAAAAAAAAACATGCGAATTGGAAATGATACCTTCTGTACAGAATGCTTGCTTATAATAAATAGTAGTTTAGCTTAGTTTAGTTATGTATTGTTGGAGCTCATTTTCTTTGGAGAACTGTAAACCGGAGCATCCCCACGAGGTCAGTCGACAGGGGCCCATCATCGGCTGTTGCCTGTTCCTCGGGCCCGATGGCCTGAGCAAGGCCTTCTCAGCGGGCCCTTCCGTTTCTGGGGCCCGGCCAGGACAAGCTGTTCCTGAGACTGAGCCGGAAGTGAATATCTGGGCCCGCTTTCTTGATACATTGTCGAGGCCGAGGACCCATTACTCAAGCTCAAAAGCCTGGTCCAAGGCCTTCTAAGCGGGCCCTTCCGCTTTCGGAGACCTCCCGGGCCCCAGATTGTCATGGGTTTGACCCGATCCGCTTTTGGGGCCCGGCCAGGGAGCACCGGCAAGGCCTCATGGGGCCCTTTTTGGACCCGAAAGCCTGGGCAAGACTTTCCCAGCGGGCCCTTCCACTTCTAGGGCCCGGACAGTCCCTGTGACTGGGCCTGGAAGAGGAGTTTTCGGATCCCCTTTTCATAACCTCTCGAGGGCCAATTAGCTCAAAAGCGGGACCTTCGCGCCCGGTAAGGGACCCGTTTGGGGCCCGGCAGGCGGCAGGGCCATAGGAGCCCTTCCTCAAGCCTGAAGGCTCGAACAAATTCTTCTGAACAGGCCCTTCCACTTTTTGGCCCTGCCGGCCCAAAACTGTCCCTGGTTTGGCCCAAAAGCGGGCCCTTCGGGCCCGCTCACGGGCTGCCTAGCGGGCCCTACCGGGCCCGCTTTTGGGGCCCGGCAGGGCCCAGGGGGGGGGGGCGACCGCCCCCGTCGCCCCCCCCCTTGGATACGTCCCTGGGAAACCGTGTATTATGTATAATTCATTTATCTCCACAGAATATGTTAAATTAGTGCTGCTGAAGTTCGCTTTCGAAGCGTCTCCTCCAGACATTCCACAGCTCTCTAGTGCCATTTTGGATCACGGAACATGGCTGGGCGCGGGACAGGTCGTCTGCGAGCTTGGACGGACCACGTGACCACCTCTTCCCCTCCCTCTCACTCCCGTCCCCTTCCCCAGCAGGACGTCCGATCTAACCGCGCCCCAGGCAGTCGGCTCGGTCCGACCCTCCCTGGTCGAGCCACGGTGCCGCCTGAGTCTGTGCCGGGTGCAAAACTGGAGCAGTAACTAGCGCCGGAACTAGTAATCAGCACGACCATCGTCAGATGGCAGGATTGAATGGAATAAGCGGTTCCAGTGCCCAATCTTACCAAACTTTCAGAACTATAACTTTCAGAACTATTCCACATTCACTAATTCATTCGTTCAGGCCACATTCATAATCATTCACGCTATCAAAATTATTAGCCAAGATTAGCTGGATGTAAATAAAAAGGATGTCTTTCATATCAGTGCCGTACACTCCGCCCAGTGCTGCCAAATCCTATTCACGGCATTGGCAAGATTGGGCCCAGGTTTCAGAAGGAATGGAGCAGGAAAAAGCGCTGAAAACAATGTTTTGCTGATACAGCCATAAAACGTTCGCTGAATTAAGAGAGCAGCACATCAGTTTAAAGCCCTTCAGATGGTGGTTTTAATAAGCACACAATCATTTCCCAATTCGCCTCCAACGGTGTCACAGGCCAAGAATACAGTGACCACGTTTTCATGGGCATCACTGATCCGGATCAGTAAAAGTGGATTAGCTAATCCAGTATAGTTAGACAATATATGAAAATGAAAATAAGGGATTAACTGATTATATAAGCATAATCCACTTGGAATTATGTCATGTAACGAAGAATTCGAGAACTATAATACGATTTAAATTTGCTGATCCGGATCAGTGATGCCCATGGAAACGGGGTCAGTGAAATACTAGTGTGTACTGTGTGCAGAAGCAACTGCGGGTCCCTGTACATACCTACCTATTCATGTCTATCAAAAGTTTATGTGAAAAAAAACTGCTGGAAACCTTTCATGGTCTGAGATGACCTCAGGGGCACAAAGAGGGGCCATGGGTACAATTTTCCGATTCATTGTGTCATGTTTACCTGTAATTCGATGCTTGGGACTGTTTAGGACGATGTTCGTCCAAACAAGGCGCATTTCGATCTTATTTATCCCAATGACTTATAATGGAGAGGTCACCAAATTCACCTGACCTTAGGTCACCGAGATCGAAGTTCAAAGATATACATTTCATGCATACTATTACCATGCTATTACTCTTAGAAATCGCTGAAAAGTCGACCCAAGTCAACGGCGTGCTCAGTTGAGCGAACGCTTTGACGTCATCGACCACTATATTTTACTGCGGAAACAGTCTGCCACTGCACTGAGATCTCCTGGTTCGCCGCCGATCTTCGGGAACACACACCGAGCGTGTCCCTGAACGATGGGTCCGGATGTAGGGTGCTGTCGCGGCCGCTCGCCAACGACATAGGTGTCTTCCAAGGCTCAGTTTCAAGACCACTCTTATTAATTATATTCGCCAATGACTTATCTCTAAAATGCTGATAGAGCTCTAGTGTTTCAATAAGCTAATGACACCCAGTTGTTGGTGAGCGGGCCGTATAGCCGAAAGACGACGTCAGGGGACTCGCCTCTCGCGTGGAACGATCATTGAACTCACTTGCTTGATGATTTATTTCACATTCGCTGAAGGTAAATACAAACAAAACCCAGTTTGATATCTTTGGCAGTCGACAGACTTTGCGCTCTATTCCGGTCATGACGTAACTTTTTGCGGAGTAGCTTTGAAACCCCCAAGCAGAGGTTAGGAACCTAGGCGTCGTCTTCGACAGTGCCATGGTGCCCTGGCATGGGAAGCATACATATCCGAGCTGTGCCGGCAGTGTACCGGTGTGCTTGTCGACTCATCTCGCTGCCGTCATATCTTCCAGAGAATCCGGACGGACTCATCAAAGTGTTTGAACGCTGAACGGACTCACCAGCGTGTTGTGCTAGTGTCGACTGTCGACACTTGTACTCTCGCGGATTTGCTATGAACTTACTGTTTACGGAAATTGCTCACAACAAAACTTTGACATGCTAACAAAAATTCTCAATTTCGCGCTATGGGTGATTTTTGGCCGTCGTAAATTATTGGTAAATTCAACATGTTTCCCGGCTCCGCGAGCAGTTGCGCTGGATGACTCCTCGGCTGAGAGTACTGGCTCAGACACTGAAACTGATGATACACAGGGTGCTGCGGCGGGGTGAACCAGATCCGCTGGTCGACTCGTTTACCCGATGCCGTGACACTCGACTGAGAAACACGCGACGACCTCTTCCCAAGCCGAGGAGACGACAGAGGCCGGGAGGCGTCGTTTCGCGCATAGGGCGCCGGATCTGTGCAATTCGCTACCGGAGTCAATGCCTACCGGAGTCAATGACGTCTGAGTTGTCTCACCAGCGTTTTGTGCAAGCCGTGAGATCCCATGTATGACCTTGTGAGAAGCCATCTCTGCGTATTGGTCGTGGGATGTGACCTGGGCTGTGAGCGTGTGTGAATGTTTTTACTCACCAAGATTCTAACGTTGTGCCACCGGAATGTGGCAGAACGATGCTCTGCCGAATGCTTGAGCGATAATAAGCTGTCTCTCTCTCTCTCTCTCTCTCTCTCTCTCTCTCTCTCTCTCTCTCTCTCTCTCTCTCTCTCTCTCTCTCTCTCTCTCTCTCTCTCCCTCCCCCCTCTCTCCCCCTCTCTCTCTCTTTCTCTCTCTTTCTCTCTCTCTCTCTCTGTCTCTCTCTCTCTCTCTCTCTCTCTCTCTCTCTCTCTCTCTCTCTCTCTCTCTCTCTCTCTCTCTCTAACAAAATGCACTCTACAACACAATGTCATGACTTTATTGATTCATGAATCGCAGCCGTTAACCACTTCACGAATATTTTACAGTGGATGAATGGCATGCGACATTTGACTATTCAGGACTAACCTAAAAGTCCTTCGCAAACTGTTATCCGTGACAACCAAGTTGTAACTCGATTGTCTTTCATATCACGAAAACAGCCTCGCGACAACAAGAAACTCATAACAACACCAACAACATACTTAACAATGAGAACACGTTGCCAGTATAATGTAACTAATAATTGAGCATGTGGAAAGAATGTGTAATAAAAAAAGCATTCGCATCATTTTGACATGATGATTATGCACCGTTTATATCGGTTCTTGCATTTGAGGCTGGCCTATCATCACTTAAAAACACAATTTTACTGTGTGGACCACGAGTCCTCAAAGTCCCTCTGGAGCTGGTTCATCCAGACCGAGTGGTCCACCTCCCACTCGTCATTGTCCAGACCTCTGCCGGACTGGCTGAGCTGAGTGACGGCCGCGGCGAAGGCGACGACAACAACAACGGCAACGACGACGCCGACGACCGCGCCGATCGGACCTGTGGAAACGGGAAACAAGGGCATTTTACTCTGGTATAGCTTTTTTAAATTGATTTAGTCCGAATCTTTTGATGGGAAGGATTCACAAGGACAGAGTCACCGCTAAGCGAAGCATGTTGCGGTGACCCTGCCCTCTACCCTCCGATCGCGCAATTCCAGTTCTATGGTAGAATTTAGAGTCCAAAGTTTAAAGGGACCCTCCCACCTTCAAAAAAGTTTATGAATTGGCATGAAAGTGATGTCGCTCGGTTCAGAAAGAGCGAAAACAAATATCTACCAAATTTCACCGAAAAATATTCACCGGTTTTCAAGATATTAGACTTTTACTTTTGTTTACTTTTTGGGATCTCCGCTGTTCCTAGCGACTTTATTTAAAAGTGCGGCATTTGTTGCGCGCAACGCAGCATATACCACCGCGTGCTACAAAACGTTTTAGTCAAACATTTAACGGACTTTCGAAAGCCTGATGACGTCATCAGATTCCCGTAATGGTTAAGAGATAGGGACCACGCTGGTCCCACCCTGCAAGTAAAGGGAAGAAATTTCTTGAACACCATAAAGCTGCGGGGGTTGCGACCAGGATAAATGGTGGTTTCTGAGCCTGGCCGCAAACTTGGCTATCTCAACTCAAAACTAATGTTAAGGTGGGAGGGTCCCTTTAACCCTCGCACGACCAGGCCATTTCTCATAACACGAACGACCAGGGGGGGGGGGGGTTGTTACGACCCCCCCCTGGCGTTTCGAAACGGAAGGTCGTAGAGCTTAGCGGAAAAAACCAACGGATTGCTCTCAACGAGATCTCGCGATTGGTGGTATATTTTTTGGTCCTAGGTCAACATTTGACCTACTTATGACCGGTCAAAGGTCAAATTTTCGGAAAAATCTAACTTTTTCAGATTTCCGCGCCGATTGCGGCAAAACGGTAAGAGATATCGACTTGAAACCTTCACTATCGTGATCCTTGATCAATTCTCTATCGTTTGGTGCGTATTTCGATGTCATAACTCTAAAAATGATGCGTTGGGAGCATCGGAAGTCTGCAAGGTCATTTGTGCATTGGGTCACGTCAGGCGTGTGACGTCACTGACCTGACCCTGACCCAAAATGAACTACAAGAAACAACCGACGATGCCTGAAATGGATAGCAAATTCGAATTCAGGGCATCAAAATACCCCGAAAAGGCATACAAGTGCAAGAAGTCATTACAGGTCAACCGAGGTCACTGACCTGACCTTGACCTTTAGTAACCTTGAAAAGGTCAACGGACATTGTGCCAATGTCAAATCAGCCAGTTATGGTTCTAAAACAATCCATCAGTGTGTCAGGTCAGTCGGCATTTATACCAATGTGAAGCAATCTCCAATTTAGCGTAAATCTGGCCGGAGGTTGTTCCCTTTATGACGTCATAACTCCGTGACCTGACATGACCCGATCAATTTTTTTCGGCAAAAGATGCGCAAAGGTTGCCCCAGAGGGTATTGAAAATTTCAGCCCGCTACGACAAGCCGTTTAGCGTGCACTTCGAAAAAACCTCAGGGGGGGGGTTGATACAACCCCCCCCCCTAGGCGTTCTAGGGTTAACGTGCGCACATAGCCGCGCACGGCCGGTCCCCTCACTGACTTCACCTGGCTACGGCCTGCCACCAACTGCAGCCATCCATAAATGTCAAGCGCCCGTCGCGCTTCGAACCCGTACGAACGCGTGCGCTCACCACGCGGAGTCCAACGCTCTTACCAACTGAGCTACGGGACCGGCATAGCTGGTGATGAAAGGAAATATTTTGCAATGCATGAACTAGGAGGTTCTACCTAGAAAACGGAGACTATGGAGAGGCTTTCGGAGAAATTGGAGAGTACCAGTGAATTTCTAATTTTGATATAATTAACCGATTGCCTGATATTATCAGTGAAAAAAGACCTCACTTACCAATTCCAGCAAGAAGGCCTGCGATGCCCTGACGTCGGTTAGATCCTCCAAATCCTCCAAGAAGTCTGTCGAACCATCTGCAATGACAAAATGTAAGCAGACGTTAACTGTTTTATATCTTCTGGTATCGTTTCACTATCATCTGATGTGATTCACGTATACCGTGGCCGGGAAGTGTGTTTGATATTTTTCAGGTTTTCCTTTCTGGCCAATTTTCACATACACCCTAGGACAAACTTATCCGCACATGTCTTTCGCATTTTCGAACACCGATTACCGCGCATTTCTTCGATTTCTCGTTGATTTTACGACGTCGATTTTCGTGTGTTGCGGTCCAAGCACCAGCCCTGTCGCGGGCTAACACATACCCTTGACGCCTTGTAGGCTGATACTGCTGCTCGTAGTAATTATTGTAGCCACCGGGGGCCGACTGGGCCACGGCCTGTGGCTGGTAGAAGCCCTCGTCGGCAGAGACGGCGGCCACTACGGCCAGCAGCAGACACACGGACAGCTTCATGGTGAAAACTGAAACGCAAACAAATCGATGACGCCCACATGTGGTGACAACCAGATTGGGGGAGGTGCAGTTGACTATATACATATAATTATATTCCTTTCCTGAGAAGCTATCTGTTCCCTGTAACGCTAAGGTGTGCCGTTTATCACGCAACTAAGCGTGTCGATGGTGAGCATTGGGTCACAGCATTGAACTGCGAACTCGGCCCATGTGACGCGGCACAGCCTACCACTCCAGGCAACTTATTGATTGTGTAACATCATTCTGCAGTCAACGGTACTGTCAGTTTTTAAAGTACCGCGCAACAGTGCGGGGGATCGATCAAGCCCGACCGTGGAAGGACTGCTCAATTTGAGCCACCGAAGCAATTGACATCCTCGTCCATTTCCCAGGTCAATTGGTTCGGTGACTTTCAAATTATAGCAAGCCCTTCCTCGGTCAGGCTTGATGGATCCACCGGTACTTTGCGCGTTACTTTTAAGACTGACTGTACATTGAAACAGCCATCGCACTACGATGGTAACAGCAGCACCATTCTGAATGTCTTATGATGAGCTTCATGCAAAGCAACATAGAAGTCTTCGAAATCAAGTATTGATACAGCCATGTCATCCATCGCCACTGGATGACACGGAACGATCACAGCACTACTCTCTGCGGGCCCGCTGACACCACACTGGGTCTGCACCACTGCACCACCACACCACTGGTGAGCCGCGCTCCTCGCTGGAGCGGCTGTAGGAGACACTGGTCAGTCGGCGGCCAGCCGGCCGAGTCCGAGTGACGGCCGGCACTGCGGCGCCACCAGTGCCCGCCCCGTGGCTCCTGAGTCCTCACCTCGCTGGCAGGACCACCGAAACAGAATGGGATGGTGAAACGGGTGTGCGCAGCGGTTAAATACCCTCGCTGTCCGTCCCACGACTTTCACAAAATCTGTCGTTCGACCAAACCCTACACACGGTAATTGAATCGTTTCTATGTTATGCAGAGTTCTCTGCTGACACGGTGCCATGCGAAACAAGATATGCGTTGTGCTCATCAGTTTTAGCTAATAAAATATGATACATTTACTGTTAACCCGCGCACCGACGGGGGTCTGCGCCAACTTCGTACCGACGGGGGGGGGGGGGGGTGGATGACCGCACCCTGAGATCTCGAGAACGAAGCAAGATAGCGACAAGCGGTAAACGGCATCGGATATGCACGGACAAGGTCTACAACTTTTACAAAGGTCATTTTCAGGTCAGGTCAAAGATGACTTCACAGGGGTCAAAAAAGTCAAAATGGCGGCGCTAGATATGGAGAGAGTTTTTCTCGAATAACTTTCGAAATAGTCAAGATAGGAACAATCTAAGGGCACCATCGTGATCCTCTCGTCAATCCGCATCGAATGATATATATGTTGACCTCGAAAGGTCAAGGTCAAAGGTTGACCTCAGGTCACGTGACCTCGAGGTCATCATGTATATCATTCGATGCGTCTTGACGAGCTGAACACAATGAGACCATCCGCTCGGCTGTATCTTGTTCCGGTACGGAGTTATTGGCAAAAAACCTTTGGTGACCTTTGATGACGTCACATGACCTTACAGCTGCCCAACAGCAAAACAGACCTCAAGGTAGTGTCGGTTGATCGTATATGAAGTCATGTATGGTATATGGGGCCATTCCGACCCGTTTTAGTGGTAAAAACAGGGAGTTGATTTTTCCCCCATTGACTTATAATGGGGAGGTCGAGAAATTGACCTAACCTTAGGTCACCGATATCAAAATTCCGAGACATACAAATTGTAGCTACTAATGACCTAATAACATCCTGCGACTTTCAAAGGCCTCCGACATCTACTGTAGCGGTGACAAAGTTGCAAAAAAGCGACTTGAGGTTGGGTCATTCAATGTGACCTGGTGACCTGACCTTAAAAGTTAGGAGGTTCAAACTTGCACATCATGTGTAAAATTGATGAGAGAATAGTCGTGCCAAATTTCGCGGCGCTGGGCGCCGCGGTTTTCCCGCTATTCGCGAAAAACCTCAGGGGGGGCGGATATCCGCCCCCCCGTCGGTGCGCGTGTTAAAAAAAAACAGAGGAGGGAATGATATTAACCCGCGCCCCGCTGGGGGGGGGGGGCAGAATCTGCCCCCCTCCCGTTTTTCGCCAATAACTTCTATACGCGTTACGCCAGCGACGTCAAACTTTCAGTATCTTATCATACATCAATTTGACACGTTCCCTGAAAATTTGAGCGAAATCCGTCGGAAATTTTTGAGAAATTGACGTTTTAGTGACGTCATATTCGCCATTTTCGCCTCAAAAACGGCAAAATTTCAAACGCCGCTAACATCTTCATTTTTAAAGGAATCACGACGTAACAAAAAAGGTTATACGTTATTCTACTTTGTCTATCAAATGGCTATCTCGGTTTTGTGAAAATTTTGGATTTTGGCCCAAATTTTTCCAAAAACTGACTTTTTTGGGAAAATAGTTATAAAATCCAAAATTTTGAGTGTATCGAAAAAACCGGAATATATGTCAGAGAAGTGGTCAATCACTACGTTTCCATGACACGTCTAAATCGATTTAGCGAAATTTCACGTGCGTTTTTCTCGGAAACTATTTACCTTATGCAAAAAATGAGCGTATTAGGTCGTTCAATAAGTAACGAACAATCGGTCATAACTTCTTTATTTCTTTATTTAACACTTTCAAACTTTCACAGATTATAGATCAGACATTTCTGAATGCAGCCTATGCCTCAAACCAGCCGCCGCCCGCCTGCACACACTTCTCCCAGCGTTCCGGCCAACGCCGGAATTCCGCCCGGAAAAACGCGTTTTCCGTCTTTTTCACCCAGTTCATGACAGCGCACATGACTTCAGCGTCGGTCTCGAAGTGTTCACCACGGAGGCCATCCTTCAGGGGACCAGAGGTGAAAATCTGAAGGAGCCAGGTTCGGACTGAAGGGCGGCTGGGGCATGATATTCAGCCCTGTCTCGCGATCTCCTCGCGTGTGGCGTGAGACATGTGCGGACGAGCGTTGTCATGGTGTCATCCTGGTGGGCTTTCTTGAACCTGGGCGGACTATGGACAGCGGGCCGCTACATCACAGTCCTGCAGGAGACTGAGAAAAGCAATCCTGAAGAAGAGGCGCGGCTCGGATGTCAACAACATCACCATACACCATGACAACGCCCGACCGCACTTGTCTCACGCCACGCGCGAGGAGATCGCGTGACAGGGCTGAATATCATGCCCCAGCCGCCCTACAGTCCGAACCTGGCTCCTTCAGTTTTCACCTCTTTGGTCCCCTAAAGGATGGCCTCCATGGTGAACACTTCGAGACCGACGCTGAAGTCATGTGCGCTGTCATGAACTGGGTGAAAAAGACGGAAAACGCGTTTTTTCCGGGCGGAATTCCGGCATTGGCCGGAACGCTGGGAGAAGTGTGTGCAGGCGGGCGGCGGCTGGTTTGAGGCATAGGCTGCATTCAGAAATGTCTGATCTATAATCTGTGAAAGTTTGAAAGTGTTAAATAAAGAAATAAAGAAGTTATGACCGATTGTTCGTTACTTATTGAACGACCCATATGGTTTTAGCTCGCACCTAATCCTATGTTTACATTTTTAAATTATGCCTAAATGCGATTGAGGAAATCCATTTTTCAAAATCGACTTAGCCTGTGCCATGGAAACGTAGCCAATGTGCACCTACATACCAATTTTTAGAATAATCGGTTAAAAATGTGGGAGTTATTCAAAATTTTATGACGTCACGACACACACAAAAAATTTAAAATGATTTTTTTGGAAGTTCTAGACCTTGTACGGAAACAAAAATAGCACCATTCGATTCGTCGTGAAAACCTGCATCAAATAGACACCTTTTTAGGCCTTAACAACCAACTTCAAAATTTGACCTCACTTGACCTGACCTTGACCTGACCTCGACCTGAAATTCATCCAGAGGTGGTCCATATCACTTATTGAGTGTGCCTATTGAATTATATGAGTAAAATGACCCATAAAACATGTGTCGCACATGCCCTTTTCTATATTTTGCTTTTGGTGACCTGACCTGACCTGACCTGACCTTGACCTTGACCTTTGAATGACATTGTATGCAACGAATATTGTCTTGGTAGTCTAAGAACACGTTTTGGGCAATCAGTCTCAGTCCATTCTTCGGCAACTACGGTGCAAGGCCGATACTGTAGAAACTTGCATTTTGTACCCTTGACCTGACCTTGACCTGACTTCTGACCTACTTAAGCAAAAAAATTTGGCTCTTAAGATCTGCCTTGTTGAGAGCTTTCGATTGTCGCTTTCCCCGTCTTTCTACGACCATCGGTTCGGAAGTTAGACAGGGGGGGGGGGGGGCAGAATCTGCCCCCCCCCCCCAGCAGGGCGCGTATGGCTGAATAGCCCAGCGGGGCGCGGGTTAATTAGTTGAATGGTAAACTGTGTTGTGATTAAAAAACCTTTATCGTTCAGAAATTCATCCACCGCCTTCTTATCCCCAATAGTGAATTAACCCTCGCCAGACCAGTATCTTTTCATAACGTGAGCGGTCGGGGGAAGGGAAGGCTTCGACCTCCGCCCCTGGCGTATGGGTCCTATGGCTTTAAAAACCGCCAATTTTTCAGGAGTTGGGCCCGTAGGAAATCTGGCCCTTGAGCAAATTTGGTGCCCCTAGGCAAATATTTATGGGATTTGAAAGGCATAAATGTTAACCCGCGCACCGACGGGGGTCTGCGCCAACTTAAAACCGACTGGGGGGGGGGGGGGGCGGATGACCGCCCCCCCCCCCTGAGATCTCGAGAACGAAGCGAGGTAGCGACAAGCGGTAAACGGCATAGGGTATGCACGGACAAGGTCTACAATTTTTTACAAAGGTCATTTTCAGGTCAGGTCAAAGATGACGTCACAGGGGTCAAAAAAGTCAAAATGGCGGCGCTAGATATGGAGAGTTTTTCTCGAATAACTTTCGAACTAGTCATGATAGGAACAAATTAAGGGGACCATCGTGCTCCTCTCGTTAATCCGCATCAAAAGATATATAT